TAATTATGTCCCCACTGGATGCAACAAATGCCTCGTTTGTAATGGGTTTGAATGTTTTTGTCTCATCCTCCGGCCGGACACAGCATCAACAGTATGTGAGGGGCGTAACATTTCCGTCTCACGCTTGAGGTATTCGGCCAATCACAACGCACTGGATAGCTGGCCAATGACAGCACACCTCGCTTTTCAGAATGATGAGCTTTGTAAAAATCAACGCGTTTCAAAAAGGCGGGGCATAGAGGAGAAACAATAATGTACAGTATGTGGAAAATAATGTGTTTTTTTAACTTTAAACCGCATAAACACATTTCATTACACCAAATACACAAAATAATGTTCTTTTTAGCAGTATCATATGACCCCTTTAAAAAAAAAAAAAAAAAAAAGTAATTTGTGTGGAAATATGACGAAGCCTGAAAATGGCTGCTATCAGAGGTCAGAGATGCTGAAGACGCAAAACACTTGAGACAGTAATACAGTATTCTGCAGTAGGGAAGTAAACTTCAAATATAGCTGCAAGCAACAATTAAGGGGCCAAGCACTCCAAAGGCAAAGTGAGGAGCTAAGCATGGTATGGAGCATCAGACCAACTGCAACAATGAGTAATTAAAGCAAGCTTAGGATGATTTGAAGCAAAATGGCTGAAAAATCATAAACACAACTTCTCGTAATATAATTTAATGGCTTATCACTTGTGACCAATAGGTGGCACTGTTATCAAATCGATGTGGTGTGTTCTGTGTGAGGTGACAATGGCACACACAAAGTTTGGTGACAATATGTCAAAGCTTTGCAGAGATACAGCCTCAGACATAATCTGGCATTATGCCTCAAATTTGTTGCGGTGCTATACAAAAACGGTTTTGTCTATCAACACGAAATCCATAACTTTTTGTCAGCACTGTCTGATGATGATCTGATTCGATTTTGGTGAAAATCGAACTAACGGTCGAGGAGGAGTTCGAAAAAGTAGGTTTTCAACAGAAATCAAAATGGCGGACAGGAAGTTCGGCCCACAATGGCATAATTGGTATCTATGTTGTAGGCATGACCCAAGGAATATTTTGAGACCAGTTTCATTATAATAGCAGGTAGTCTCAGGCCATGCTTGTTATAACACACACCAAGTTTGGTCTAAATATGCCAAACAGTTGCAGAGATAAAGCCTCAGATCCATTTTTGCATTTTTTTTCGTCTAATTCGTTCGCGCGTTATTCGAGAACGGTTTGAAGAACATGAGCGAAACTTCGGACAAGTGGTGGCGCTAGAAAGTTTGAGATTTTGAGACTCCAAATTTGCTATAGTTAATGTTGAGACTGTCCTCTATTAGAGTGCCAAATTTCACAACTTTCCAGCAAGCGGTTCTATGGGCTGCGATAGACTCAAGAGCAGAAGAAACGGAAGAATAAGAACGCCGACGGATACAATAGGTGCCTACGCACCTTTGGTGCTTGGCCCCTAATTGCAAGCGGCACTGGGAAACGATCAGACAGCAGAGGAGTTATCAGTGAACTAACATCTGGAGCTGCAGTAACAGTCTGATTCTCTCCCAGCAGCAGTAAAGCATCACTCTCTAAATTCGATTTCATTGAATATGCCACAGCCACAGTTTCAATCAAAATTCAATTTGCTGTTTCAGCAGGACGGGCAGGAAGCAGATGCGTGTTTTCTGGGGTGTTAGTAATGCAAAACTCTCCGTGCTGTTTCTGCATTGGCCACAGACGGATGCGGGACACTCAAAGAATGGCCATGAGCTTGCTTTCCTCTGTATAAAAAAAAAACAGTCTCGCTTTCGACATCCTATCTGTCCCCACTGAGCCTAATCCCAGGTTGTACGCTGTGGGCGACTCAAGTGATTTCTGCAAGCTTATGGGAAACTGGTCTTTCAAACGTGGATCTGCCATTCAGCAGGTAGGCTGGGATTTCAGAGTTACACACACACTGATAATGCTGAGCGCTGGAGGAAGAAATCATTCAGAAACACAGTGCCTGGTCAATGACAAAAAAGGATAATAAGTAAGAGAGGGAATCAAGAGCCATATCAGCACTTTACATAGCCTAGACCTAGAATGGAGTTTCTTTCAGTGCCAGCAAAGAGAGTGACATTAGAGCAGCACTTTATTTAAAAAAGAAAAATACAGCAAATAACGAATAGCTGGATCATGGGTAATACCAGGGGTGTCCAATCCTGCTCCTGGAGGGCCACCTTCCTGCAGAGCTCAGGTCCAGCACACCTGCATGCGAGTTTTTATTGGCCCTGAAGACCTTGATTAGCTGGTTTAGGTGTGTTTAACTGGGGCTGGAGCTTAACTCTGATAGAACGAGGCCATTTATTGGAAAAAATCAAACATTTCATAGGGCTCTATTAATAATGCCAATAAATTATTAAACTGTTGAGGTTTTATGAATTCAGTTGAACAGACATGTTTTTTTACTATTAAAAATTTTATCTTCCCTTTTTTATCTTCTCTTCCCATTTTATATATATTGCCCTCTACGAACATTTTGGCAATTGAATCGCCATTGGCTAGTACATTTTTTAGTTTACTTAGTACATTTTTTAGTTGACTGACTGACTGACTGACAGATATATATATATATATATATATATATATATATATATCAGTCAGTCAAGCATTATAATATGATAATCAATTGTATTTATTGATAGAACTTTAGTAATTAGAATTAAAACTTGATAACCATGTATGAATGCATATTAGTCATTTTAACTGAACTTTGGACTGGTGGTGGTGCTTTTTTGGTCATTCAGTGTTTCTGTAAAAAAAATAAAAAATTGGGGAAAAACTAACAAAAATACTGATAAGATAATATAATGATGATACGAATTCCTACTAATAAGAACAATATAAAACCCACCAAGGATTAATGAGCTATTGGATTCATGAATATTAATCAGGTTGTGTGTGTTCACTCGAACTGATTTGCTGAAATCAAAACAGGGACGATAATAGGTGAGCGCTAGCCAATGAGATTGCCGTTTGCGCATTAGTTCCACCCACTACTGGAGAAAGCGGTAATAACTCTGTTATTTTGACCGCAAAATACAACAAAGAATATCGTTTACATGTAGCGCGCATAGGTAGTGCGTCAATTCTCTCTCTCCCTCTCTCGCTGCGTGTGTGTGAAACAAAGCGACGGCGAGTCATGCACCTTCACACTAGAGTTTACGGTACGTTAAATGCAGGTGCGTTGCACACCCATTCAGATGAACTGATAAACAGCACAGATCGTTTGGCGGAGAGTGAAACTCTGATGCGCTCAGTCAGAGAGTGTTCGGCGAGTTAAAATATATCCAAGCTAAACTTATACTTAGCCTCCAACTCACACACTGGCGAGTAAAATCTGAGAATTTATTAGCCAATGGCTAATATTAGACATTATTTAGTCGCCCAGAGTGAAGATTTAGTCGCATATGTGAGTGATTTACTCGCAATGTAGAGGGTTGTGTAATCAAGAAAAATTTAAACTGGGGAAAAAAAATGACAAAATTTGTGAAAAAATAAAAAACAGATTTCATAGGGTTCTACTCCAGGAGTGGGACTGGACACCTTTGGTTTATACCATTTTGGCTGGGATTACCTGTAACATGTAAAAAATTAAACAAAATAATGTGAGAAAACAGAGATGAACATGTCCCAAACAAGTCAAGTAATGCACAAACTTGTTCTTAAAGGGTTAGTTCACCCAAAAAGGAAAATTAGCCCATACATTACTCACCCTCAAGTCATCCTAGGTGTATATGACTTTCTTCTTTCAGACGAATCCAGTCGGAGTTATATAAAACATTTAAAGAAAGAAAGTCTGTGCTCTTTCAAGCTGTTTAATGCCACTCAGTGGGTGTTGCATGCATCAGTCCAAAAGAAGTTAAATAAAAAGCGCCCATCCATAAAAATAAAAAAAAGTGTTTCACACGGCTCCAGGGGGGGAACAAAGGCCTCCTGTAGCGAATCAATACGTAATCCGCCCGGAACTGCTTCCGTGTACAACGGGGGGTTTTTTAATGGTGGGTGTTTATGCAGTTGGCCAGAGCAGTGCTGATTGGGGAGAGCGGAGGTGCACTCACTCTTGCCCAGGGCAAGTAAGACTGCAACTCAAGGGTGGCAGTCATGCATATGCTCTGGAACAGAGTAATATCGTGTCCACATCGCAGGCTTTACGATTAGGAAATCGCAACGTCTCAAATCGCGCTACTGAGTAGTATTATCTATATAATACTGCACCACAGTAATATATTTCTGATCATTTCTTTAAGCTAACCCGAACTTATATTTTGACGGGTTGCCATGAGGAACTTGTTTCTGTAGGTCTATGTAAATGATATGAAGATAGTTTTACTCCAATGAAATATAATTTGCATTATGTAAACAATAATTGACCAAAAGAAGAGACCAATAATTTCAACAAAACCTTCTATTATGGTCTATGCTTGTAATCTGAATGTTTTCAAAGGGGTTTCCACTATATATATGAAACAATTAGACCTACTTAATAAATAACCAGGTTATATGATGCCTAACATTTTCTTAAAAAGACGTTTAAATGTATTTGTTTTTGTGACTTGTTCACATGTTGTTATTGTTGGTTAAAACCTTGTCCCTTTGATAGCCTATCTAGGAAACATAATTTCACTTTAGAGAGAATCAAGGGACCCATAAAACACTGGTGCTCTTGTATGAAACAAAATGAGCGTTTATTATTGGTTTTTGTCAGTGTTACACACAACTAATCTCTCACACACACTAAAGCAGCGCCATCGGCTCCATGTATGCAGGCCCACCCCCGTAAAACCCAACCTAACACAAACACGACCCGCTTTAAACTGCCCCGCCGTGGAAAACATACATATTCGTGTTTAACCGCGGGTAGAACGATGATGTTCCTACCTCATCTCTGGATGTAGGACTCATATTCAATGCCGTTTCGCACTCGTTTGACTCGGCCGCCATCTTTCCCGCCGTTTTCCGGAAGTGATGCTA